GTATGTATGTGTGTGTTTGTGTTGAGCATCCATCACCTTATCCCGAACATTGCCATCACTGGACTACGATGTGTTTAGGTCCCGATGAGGTAGCTTCTATAAGGTAGACTATGCTTCTGTAGAAGGATGCTTTAAGTCCCTTCCTTCTCCATACGTATGAATGAGTGCCTTTAATGCCTGTCTTCCGTGAATGTGAAAAACGGGGTACCGGAACAGAAGGATTACGAAATCCGCAAAATGCACTTGTTTTGAACCAGTCGTTTCTACCGTTAGTGCTAGAAACGATTACTCAAAAGCGAGTGCATTTTGAGGATTTCTGTAATGTAGTGAACGTTCTTTCTGTCCGAGATTGCATTGCTGCACGAATTATTCGCGCAAAAATGCATAATTACATCGACAATAACCTGTATTATTTTGTTTTTTTTAGGTCTCATGAATCCGAACAGCGGCAGTTGTACAGCGGAGCAGAGTAGCAGTAGCTGCAGTGGGTTCCTGGAAGTTAAAGACGAGCATAGTGGTAGCAAGGATAATCTGGATGATGGTATGGCTGAAGCAACGGCAACCGCGAAAACACTTGCTGATATTTCAAGTATGCTTGTGCAGCACGACTCGAACGGCCTTTTTTCTAGTGATACTTCTGAAAACAGTAAGTTTTTGGCCTTTTTTTTTGCAAAATTGGCAAGATTCATGCATCAGCGGTTCTATAAAGTAGCAGAATTGTACAATAACGCACTTTATAGGATTTGAAAGAGTAGTATATATGCATTTTAAAAAAATAGTCTTTTTATTGACTATTAAAATTCGACTGTGTTCCTCTCTGCGACGGGCTAGCAACGCCAAACAAACTGCATATGTTAACGCACAGGCAATTTTTAGGCCCCCATCCTCTTCCAGTCTCCTAGCCAAGGCGCTACAAAAACTACAGGGCTGAATCTTTGGGAACTTAATCTACATGCACGCATGAGCACCCACCCCCAAAATGGGCGCTCTTACCCACGTGGTTCCCACACATAGGACCGTAAAAATCTTTGATGGGTAAGTTGTTAACTCGGAAACCAGAGAAGTTAGAAAGCTGAAATTTTAAGGTTATGTTTTCTGACAGTCCTGGTGGTCAGTCTCAATTCTTTTAGCTAGAAGCATCTACCGGAAAAAACATTGCCGTTAGAAACATAATCCTGCGGCGATCTGTGCAAAAAAACGCATCTTCGCACCGGTATTCGTTGCGTTGGCCAGTTATCTAGTCATTTATATTGAATAACAAAAGTATCAAGAACCTATGGGCAAACCGTGCGGGTATTTCGGTTAGCGATATTACAGGAATTCGTGATTAACAGTTCTTGAAAATGTAGCCACAAGAAATCTGCTGTTTTAGGGCCAAGACGTGGTCGTATTGCGGAGCATCCGTGCTGGGATTTGGTGCAGCGAATCTATGAGCATAATTGTATGATATGCCGGATATGCTCACGAGTGATTAAATGCATTAATACGCGTAATGCAATGCAACATTTTCGCAGTTGTCATTACCAGGTGCTCATCATTCTCAGTTTTTCCATTATCAGGCCATTTCCTGGAAATGTGCTGCAACTTGCTGATATCTGCCATGTGTGCATCGTTCTTCGGTGACCCTTGGCACGCTACTAAGTTTATGATAGCAACCAGGTTGACCCTGGAATAGAAAGGTATTTTGAAGTAGGAAGAAGAAGAGAGGAGAAAATGATGTGAAATTACTAGAAGTATTTTGATAAAATTATTATAATAGTGGTAAGAAATGTTTAGCCTAAATAGCGATAGAAGGCGCGATAGGTTACAACATGAAAGAACAGTATGAGAAAAGAAGGAGATAAGAGTGAGATAAGACGTTTCTTGGTCCATTAAGTTATATAATCAGCTGACTTTCCTCAGCAAGAGTGATTTCGGTGATTTTGTTTTTTTTATAACAAAATTGGTAACACAATTCAATGGAAATAGTGTCTTATCTTCACAATGTAAGAT